TATATATATATATATATATATATATATATATATATATAAACGCCACACCGCTTATTCTGAGTACCGAACATCGCGCCGAGCTCATTCATCGAATCGCGATGCCCAAGGTCGGCAGCTCTTGCCGACAGTTGACAAACTCCTCCCGATAGTAATTACGCTTACAACACGTGACGAATACTACGCTCGCTTTTATGACGGAATCCCGTCATTCGCGAACGACTTTGGAAATTTGTGGAATGCGCGTGTATATATATATATACAATATACTTGTGTATCGTCAAATTTCGCAAACCGGAATTTTACTTTTGGATTCGGCGTCGAAATTACCACAATGTTATAAAAATTGTAATTTTATTTAAAAGAAACTTAAGAATTCAGTCAACTTTGACTTCGATTAATATTTACGGAAACACTCGAAAGATGTGTACACTCGATAAGTCAGTCAACGAGTTTCTCCAGGTGAGTGTTCGCCGACGGTGAAGAGTATTCTCTCAAACGAAGAAGAACAAAACTAAAGAAAAGAGAGAGAAGAGAGAAGAGAGATGATACAATGAAATGGTACTTACTGCTTGGTGCAGGAGAACGACGGTGACCGTGCACACGAGCATCGTGGTCCACATGTTGACGCGTCGCATATCCCTTGTTTACACGCCGCCGGCGCTTCCCCGGAAGGCGGCGGAGGTGGAGGCGCGCTTTGGCTCGTCTTGTCGGCGTTACCTGCTCGCCGCGGCGCCGCGGGGCTGCATAGCCACGATACCGCCGTGCCGATACTCACTCCCCGTGCACGCGAGCCGTCGCCCGGAAGTGGCAAAGCCAACGAACGGGCGGACGAATGAACGAACCGAGCGGCGAATTGCCGCGCGCGCGACGCGTTTTATACGCGGAGGAAAATCGCGACCGGAACCAACTCTATTTCCCACTGTACACTGCGGGCTTCGCGAGGCGAATCGCGCGATTGAGGAACGCCGGCGATGATTCGAAAATTAATCCGGGGTCTGCGCGCGGAACGCACTTGGCGACAAGAAGAACCAATTGTCGATGTGTATATACGCGATATTCTGTCGCTCGCGATTCTCACGCGCGGTTCTCACTTTTTTTTTTTTTTTTTTTTTTTTACACACTCTTTTTGCTGTTGACACACTTTGTAATTCCAGTATCCGTAGAGACGACGAGAGAACGCTGGACAAAAATCCCGGCGGCGAACCAACCAAGATCTTCGCGTCGCGCGTGTATACTTTAGATGAAAATTCGAATTTTCGCGAGGTAAAATCCTGCCTCTCGGGACAACGATCACCTTTTTATTCGTCTCTTTTTATGTGTAGATTATCCGTCGCGATTACTTCTTTCTCAAAAAAAAAAAAAAAGTCAGCGACAATCGGGACACTGTGGCGGTGATGACACGCGGACGTGGAAAACGCTCTTGTCCTCGTCAATCGTCGCAACAACGACGACGTCGCGCAACTGAACCGAACTGAACGACGCTCGTTCGCCACAGCGTGAGGAATACTCCCTCAACGGCAGCAGCGCCGTACAGGGATAGGGGGACCGAGTCGGGGATGAAGGGAAGAGCCGATGGGTGGGGAGCCGACTACTGGAGTAGTGGAGGGGAGGTAAAGCCAAGGATGCCCGCTCGTGTGTGACGAGTCGAAGATGAACGAGAGTCAATGCGCCCGTCGCGCGGCAGAGGGGGCTTTTCTCCTCACACGGCGAACCGAAGGGGAGAAGGCGGGCCGCAAGGGAACGAAGAGCGAAAATTGTGAAAAAGGTGCCGCGACAAAAGTCACCAAATTCTTCGACCGGACTAGCTGAGGTTTGCTTGTTGCGGTTGTTTCCTGCCGTTTTGAATAAGTCCCAAGAGAAATAACACCAAGCGCGTTATACAACAGCAAAGTCACAAATTTGCCACTGTAAAATCCTTTTTGTCCTTTTTTTTTTCTGATACTTGTCTTTTTTTTTCTTTCAGTAGTTTTTCACTTTTTTGTCCTTATTTTTCCCTTTTTAAAATTAATACACGCCGAACTACTCTTTTTCCGATTGAATCACCGTATATATATAACATCGTATCACGCCACTAAACCGGTCGCACTAGCGCCACACCGCGGCATTCACGATAACCAAGAATCGCTGAAGCACTATACCGGCGCGGATCTAACGACAGATGGCGATCTCCCGCTTTCTCATTTGGATTCCTTCTCCTCGTGTGTACTCTTTTGGAATTTTTACAGTACGTATTAATTTTCTGTTCCTATATCTCACTTTCGCGTGAAACTACGCATGCACCTGTAAATTGTATTATTTGCGGGGTAAGTTGCACAACAGTGAGTGGCTGCGCGCGCGCTCACGTGCTCGTCACGGAGTGCAACCCTCGACTGGAGGTAGTCGGACGGGGGCACCCCTACTTATAATTGTGGTCCCGCCGGTTCCCCCCCGGCCCAGTAGCAGAGAGGGGTTGTGCCCGCGACCGACCGAATCAGAGGGGTGGTGGATGGCGGCTGCACCGCTGGCGCGATGCTTGGGCCGGAGGGGATGCGCGGGGACCGTAGCAGGAGCAGGAATGAGCCGACAGCGGGCCGGAGGGGAAAAGGGAGCGATGCAAAGAGGCAGCTGCAGGCCGGCTGCACGCGCCCACCCCCACCACTGCGTGCGTGTAGCCCCTGTGTACGACACCCTAGCCACTCGTGCGGACTTCTTGCCTGCCTGCCTACTTTGCCTGCTTGCTCGCTCACTCGCTCGCTTGCTCCCTTGATCGGCTGTCCGCGAGGACACCTCGGGGCGCCTGCCCCCCTGCCTGCACCCTCCTTCCCTCGCTTTCGCTTCATGTTCACGGTGGCACACACAGTTCGCAAACGTTTCCCTCTCGACCCCTCTATCTGGCCCCTCCGTCGTGAGCGCCACGATAATTCGTTACCCCATCTACGGATCCGCTGGCACGCGCCGTGTGCCACTACCTCGCGTGTACGTGACGTCACATCTTTCTTTTTAAGCGTATTACATTTCTTACGCTGCGCGCGCGCCAAGCAAAATGTATATGTATGATAACTAAAGTCAGCGTTAAGAGCGGGAAAAAGGATTAAAACACACTCACACAAACATTTAGCACTAGACTAGTTCAAAAAAACTACTTACAACTGAGTACAGATTCATTTGATTAAAGATAGGCTCTAAGTTGGTTCTTATCTCTTTTAAACGAGAAGATTTCTGACAATGGAACGATAAGATTCAGGAGCGAGAATGTCACAACGGTTAATGCATCTCACAATATTGACAGAGCGATGATGCAACGACATTGTTTATTTAAGTAATAATCGTCTAATCAAAGAGAGATGCAAAAATTTACTTGCCTAATTGGCATCTAATTGCTACGTAGTAAAAAAATAATATGCATATTACAGGATGATAACAAGTGTGAAAATTATAATAAATGGTCGCAAACGGTGCATGAAATGTATCGTAATATTTTTAAGAGATAGAAAGAGAGAGAGACTAATATGTTTTATATACATTGTGGTCTATTTTTATTTTATACTCCTGAAAGATATCTAATTTGCAAACGAGGATGTGTGAAAACTAAAGAAGACAGTTGGATTATAAGATTGATCAAATTTCTGCAAAAATTTCTCTCTGACAAGATAGATAGGTAAAACTATCTTATACATGTCGGTGAACTTGTTGCCAGAATTGAGAAATCGAATACCGAGCGCTGCACATATTTGAACTGCCTGATATAATTAAAGTCGCAGCACCTGCGCAACTTTTGCCAAAACCGAATGTGGTCTCAACGGTAAAAATATATTTAAACCTAATTCGCTTGATATTCGCGCACTATGCCAGTAGGCAATTTGCCAATCGATATTTTGACGTACGCCAGGTCACGAATTTGATAAATCAGTTGACGAAGTTCCGCGCGCGAGAAGTCACGCGAGGAATATCCAGAAAATCAAAGAGCTGATGAGTTTAGTTCGATTCGGATTACAGATTGAAAAATTTCTTCGACGTTTGTTATGACATTTGTTTGCGTAACTAACGCATTACCGTTGCAATTTACAATAGTTGCAAAATCGTTGTCATTGATGCATTGCGATCGGAAATCAGATATCGAGCTATAATTCTTTGCGGATAAATGCGATCTCTGCGGCACGAACTGTGCATAAAATAGCCGAGTTTCGATGAGCTTGGTGGAGACCCCCTAATCTGGATATTTGCCAACTGCCCTAATTTAAGGGTTCGCCTTCCTAAAACCGTATAACATACTCTCTCTCTCTCTCTCTCTCCCTCTCTTTTTCTTTCGGACACACGCCGAGGTAGCGATTTCGCGTCATCTGCGTTCTTACTTTTTCATTCCTCGACTCTTCCGCACTCGTTCTTTCGATTCGTGTAAAACATCAAATTAGTCTTATTTTTTCATCTAAAAAAACTCAGGTCCAGGCTAATCTTTTATTGTTACATAATATTAATTTTTTGTAATGCACGAAATTAGTCCAAATAAATAATATAGTCACGCAACAGATCTAACCCAGTCTTCTACTCGTTGTTATTTGTTGTAAACTCATTTATATTTGTCCGTTTTCAAATATTATCTTGCGAAGAATCACACAAAACCGAACGTTTTGTGACAAAAAAAACACGCGTATATAAACACGTACACTTGCCCGCAATTTCCTCTCGACATCCTTCGTCCTGGCATCTCGTTCTGCTACGCAGAACCTCTGACGTCACTGGTCGCATAACCGGATGGGGTGCGGGGAACCTCGCGTCCTGGTCGGAGGGCACGTATGTACATATTATGCGGCATACGCGCATCGCCATTGCACGGGGTGACAGATTATTATGGCGCGCATATACTACTCTCCCCCGGCAGGCATTGTGTTCGAGGTACAATAGCTCGGACCTGTCTCAGCCACGCATCCACGTCCCTTATTGTTAGTTAGCACCGTAAGAGAAAGAGAGAGATACGGAGAGAGAGAAATACGTCTTTCTTTCTCTCCCTATCTCACCTCCATTCGGATTTTGCAGTGCTCTGCAGTTCCCCCTATTGCAGCTAATAAATCCGCTACGCCATTAAGAAAGAAACTTCCCTTTGATATATTTGCTTCTAACTAGGCGGAGCCACTGTCTTATTAAGATTGATAGCGCTTGATAGATCAATAGTTTTCTTAGTGAATCATTCGTTTCATCGAACAAGTGTAAAGTTTTCTCGCGATTATAAAGAGTAACATTACGTTGAGATTACAAACACACACACACCATATGCGTGCTATTATAAAATTTACCCGAAGATAAAATAAGAAAAATTCACACAGACGACTGGAACAAAGCCAGCCGTCGTTGGTCCGGTGCAAACTTGTGAAATCACGGTCGCGTAATCAGGTAAACAGCGTGATGATAAGGTGTTGCCACACAGAAAGAAGCCTTTGTTGTTTTCCTCGCAGCGCGTCGCGCTTGAGGAGGAAGAGGAGGCCTCGGGTGCCCGTACTTGTACAGTGTACTTCCGGTCACGAGGTGGTTCAACAGGTCAGACCGACGGGGGAGCCAGATGAAACCACTTCCGGCCCCATCGTCCCCTTCGTTCGTCTTCCCCATTAAGTTGCACGTGGGTTACGTTCTTTCTTCCCCTTATGTCGCGGCCACCTTACTTCTTGATGTGTATTCAAATTAGTAAGC